CTACCTGAGCATTGTTTCTGACCATGTCCATCCCTTTATGACCACCATGTACTCATCCTCTGATGGCTACTTCCAGCAGGATAATGCACCATGTCACAAAGCTAGAATCATTTCAAATTGGTTTCTTGAACATGACAATGAGTTCACTGTACTAAAATGGCCCCCACAGTCACCAGATCTCAACCCAATAGAGCATCTTTGGGATGTGGTGGAACGGGAGCGTCGTGCCCTGGATGTGCATCCCACAAATCTCCATCAACTGCAAGATGCTATCCTATCAATATGGGCCAACATTTCTAAAGAATGCTTTCAGCACCTTGTTGAATCAATGCCACGTAGAATTAAGGCAGTTCTGAAGGCGAAAGGGGGTCAAACACCATATTAGTATGGTGTTCCTAATAATCCTTTAGGTGAGTGTATATATCTTTAATTAGAAATGTATTCATATTTATTGTTAAATCATTAATCGATAGAAGAGGGTATAATATGTACAGGGATGTTCAGATGCTGATACATTATTATCAGTAACAGTGTATAAAAACCCACACAATCTTATATCAAATGATCTTCCTAAAAACTCAAAAGTAAAATAAGGGATAAACAGCATGTCCCTGCAAAAAGCTTGTGCAGCACCTCTGTCCTTCCCTTCCTAGTGATAATGTCGAAGGGGCAGTCAGCCTTTGTGGGGTCTTTTTACACCCCCCCCCCCCCTAGCTCTGTCACCAAGCCGCCCGTGATGCATCTGCACCCAGAGACTCTCCGAGATACCAGAGGCATGATCAGCTCATGTTTGACAATTTTATCTTTTCATATTTCTGGTGCTTTGTTCCCACAGTGGAATATAGGTCCCTCAGAAAATACAAAACTCAAAATGAGGAGGAAGTTTTCACAAAGTCGGAAATGTATGGGGGAGGGGCCACCAGTCTATTACTCAGATATATGCACATCCATAAATCATACTCAACAGCATAACCCTGCTGCACATGGTCATCCATCCATCCATCTTCCATGGTGCTTATTCAGTACTTGGGTACAAGGAGCCTGGAGCCCAGGAAGGGAGATGAGGCAGGGGACACCCTGGACAGGATACTGGTCCATTGCAGGCAGACACACATTCACACACATCATGGGCAATTAAAAAATACCAGCCTTCCCAATTCTGCAATCCCTCATAAAGCTGGAGCCAACGCCTCAATATGCACGGAGCCGGGTCAGCACATCTAATGTGCTTAAATATCTCTAACATCTTGCTATAGTTCCAGAGAATTCTAGAGTTCTGGAGACCTGGCTTGTTCCCTCCCAGTGTCATCTCCTGACTGTGGGCTCACCCTCGCCCATATCCCAACGATGGTCCCTGAACGAACTAGCATACGGTTGGGGAGGAAGATGATCAGCACATATATCTGTTACACTTTTTATTTTTTTGATATGGGCTTGAGGGGGTTAGCAGTGTATAATTGTGTATGCATGTGTGTCCTCTGATCCGGGGAGTACCCTAGCCTTGTTCTGGGATGGACTCCAGGTGCCCCTATGACATGACCCAGACCGTTAGATAAATGGATGGATGAAGATGGTTAAGTCTGTATTCCCTTTACTCTGGTCACCCCTAAGCCAAAGCTGCAACACGAGATGAGAAGAAAAGACTTAGGACAGGAGTCGCCAGCTCCAGTCCTGGGGGGCCCAGCCCTGCACATTGTTGGGTTTCCCCTCATTTAACACACCTGATCCTACTTTTCTGCTAATTACCAACCCCCCCCCCCCCAAAAAAAATGGGGGTGGAATACTTCCCCAGTGGAGGCTCTGCAAAGGATCCAGCTGAGATCAGATCCTATCTGATCTTTTACACACCAGTGCTGCAGATGCTTCGCATCCACCATTGCCAGTGTGGCCACCAAATACAGTGGCTACCAAATACAGTGGCCACCAAATACAGTGGCTACCAAATACAGTGGCCACCAACTATAGTGGCCACCAAATACAGTGGCTACCAAATGCACAGTTATTCAATACGGACTTAGCTCAGTCGCATAGCCATCAATTTACTCTCCCCAGCTTTTCTATACTTGCCACGAAGTTTCCCTCACTACACAAACGCAATAAACTTCTGAAGATTAGGGTGCTCTGCCCTCTGCATTGCTGAGCAGGTCACACCAAGACATGAATGTCTATGGACTTCAAATGCCCGTTTGAGGGCTGGTTCTGCCAGGTACCTGCTTATGGATTTTGTTGCCTTTCATGATACTTTCAGTTCATTTTTTCAATTCAATTTGATTTTGTATAGCACATTTTCTTTGGCCATTGTCTCAAAGTGCTTTATGTCGTCCCTGTCCAGTGCCCACATGGAGCAAGCCAGAGGTGATCGTGGCAAGGAAGAACTCCCTAATTAGAAGAAACCTTGGGAGGAACCAGACTCAGAGCAGAAGCCCATTCTCTTTGGGCTACTCGTGGTATGTGGTTCTGTGGGTTAGGATACTGTGCTCGTGATCAGAGGGTTGTTGGTTCAAATCTCGTGGGCAGTTGATTAATACCACCACTGGAGTCTTGAGCAAGGTCTTTAGCCTCAGTTGCTCCATGGGTAACAGGCAGGGGCTGACCCTGCACTCTAAACACAAAACATACTCACACCCATCTGTGTGTTTGAAGGAGAGCAAGAAAAATACCACTTCCCTAAAGGCATGAATAAAATTTCACTGTTTTATTCCATATTCTGTAGTTTTGACTTGCAAAATAATTGAGGCTAGAATTACTCTGACAAGCCTCCATTTTCCTAAGCTGGTGGAGCTGGCGTTTGTTGGCACATCAGAGGAAATGTTGACATATCAAGTGTTCCAGCACCAGCATCAGCGTGTGTTTTGTTTTGGAGGGGGGAAAAAAGGCATCTCAACACAGTATTGTGTTGGATCAATACCGAATCTGTACATGCTAGAGCAGGTGTGAATGTGAAGGAGTTCTATGACAGGCTGCTTATCAGCAGAACCATGTGGTTCAGCCGCGCCACATCCCGCCTCTGAACGTCAAAGCTTCATCGTCAGAAAGGCCGCAATTGGCACTGGTTCGCTTTTAAAATCAGAGTGAAATGCAGGAGGGTTGACACACAGACAGGGAACGTCTCCGAACCCCACTTTGAGCTTTGGCTTCAGGGATCTACACAGATTCAGCCTGAAGCTGTAAAAGTGACAGACTGTGTAAAAAGTCTGGCTTAAAAAGAGACTAGGTGAGACACAGCCAAATGCACATTTTCACAAGCATAACCTATGTTTTTAAACCACGTGAGTCATGTGACTGGGTTTGAGTGGACTAACCAAAACGTGGGCTGGTCGCTCTAGGCTGTTACAATTTCCTGATTAATTCATTTTAGATTTCCTGACACAATGGATTTGATCCCTGGTCCAGTGGGATCTCAGTGTCTCCCGTCTTTCCTGGGCCCTTATTAAATAACGATAGAAGTCATTCTTAAGGTGGCACAGTGGCTCAGCGCACAGTGCTATTGCCTCACATCTGCAGGCCTGTGGGACTCATTCCTGCTGCCGCTCCGTCTGTGTGGAGCTTGCAGAAGTTCTCACCAGGTAATCTGGTCTCCTCCTACAGTCCAAAATCATACAGGTAGGTGGCGTCTCTAAATTGCCTTTGTATGTAGCATGTCATGGACTGGGGTATCCCCCCCCCCCCACCTGTGCACTATAGTTCCTGTGATAGGGTTTTATTTGTCACATGCCAGATGTACACTTCCACTATAACCTGCTGTGAAATGCAAGGTGCTCACCTCCACAATAATAAAAATAGTGAAAGCAATAACAGATAAAAAACAACAATATAATAAATTTGTAATAAATAAGGAACAGTAAACTTATCCTGAAAAGAAAGATGTGCAACACAGCTCCAGTAAACTGCATGGGGGATGAGTAAGGAGCATGTGATTCAGGTTCACCGCTAGCTTGTATGGAAAAGGAATGATTAGCAGTCATATTCAAGCACCATTACAAATTCCTGATCATTTACAAAGATCGCTGCCAGCACATTTGGGCAAATAAAACTAAAATATGTCAACATAATTACATTTGGTTCATTTATGCACCTTAAATTACTACTGAAATTAGCTTGGATTAAAGGATCATCACTCATTTGGTTACAAAATAATTGTTTGGGGGCTATGAATTTAATTGATCTAATCAAGTAAATAATCGATCATAATTACATTTGACGTGATGATTTATTTTAAAAGAGCAGGGAAAATGGAGATGAAATGAAGAGGCTTTCCTCCGAGTCATGTTATCGGTGCCAACACACCATCGTTACGATAAGGCGGCATCGGTCGGGATTCAGTCACCGAGGCCTGATTAAGACAAGGTGGAGCTCAGGCAGGGGGGGTATGCCGGCAGATCCCGTCCACCACTGCACTGCAAGGAGCCTGGGACTGCAGCCTGTTGGTGACAAAACCTTTTTACTGACCGGTTCAGTTCCCCAGCCAGTGAAATGCATGAAACCAACCACCAACTTCTCATTCCATGTCTATAGAGACATTTTCATGGTATGATCTTTTTTTCCCCTGGTATTTCTGCACTAAAATATTCTCTGTATTCTATAAGGTAAATGTGTTAAGAAGAAAGTGAGTCAAATTATTTGGGGCTCAAGCAGCATTAGCTGATGGGTCCATATTGTTTTAAACTTTTTTCTGAAGTGATATATAATCACGAGAGCAAGCAGGGGGAGAGAAACGGGAGCTAACAGCCTTATGCAAGAGCTCAAAGGCACCGCCAATACGGGGATTTGAGCCACCAACCTTCTGATGACAGGCAGTGTCCTCAACTGGTTACACACTGTACCCCACTAAGACACACCCATGACTTGCTGAAGGAATTTTCCGGGCAGGATCAGAGTTACCAGTGTCAGCACAGAAAGTGAAAAAGGAAACTTTCATTGACAGGCAATTAAAAGCAACTCTGGAAACATTCAAACAAATTCACAAAAAAAGAAAGAAAAAAAACGAATCGATAACCAGGCACGTTGTTTACAGGTTTATTAACAGCAATTATCCGTTGTCCTTCTGTAGACATTTGTGATTAGCCACGTACAGAAATGGAATGGGTTTAATTAGCGGACAGAGCACGCCTCTATACACGTCCCACGTATAGAAAACAGCGTAGCTTACCTCTCACGACAAAAGGGTTTATATCCGTTAATATCACACAGCAGCTGCGTCTGAAAATTTTCAGCGAATTTGCAAAGGGGTCCATTCAAATGTTGTCATTGAGTTGAATTTGCGGATACTTTATAGTAATCCATTTTGGAGGCTAATTTCTCGGTCAAAGTATCTATTTCGGCAAACAAGACAAAACGTGAAGCACAGATCCTGACGTTCAGCGTGACGCGTGCGACCATGTGACCGAAAACAGCGCAATATTGGTGAGGACGAAGCCTACAGGTAAAAATAATTAAAATTCACAGACTGTCCCAGGGCTAAAAACTGGCCAGGTGCAAATACTCCGTCCGCAAAAATAAAAGTGCAAAAGAGGCTTCAATTTTATTTCGTTGCTGCTGAGGTGCAAACACTACTTTTGAAATGACGTCAGCGGGATCACTGTGGCGGTTTGAAACGAATGCATTTACGAAATCCACTGCAGGCATTCTACATTCTTAGGCACATTAAAAATAATCAAGGCACCTTCAGCATTTGAAGCATTAACACTGACTTCTGAAATAGCAGCCTGCAAATCTTCACTCTCCCTTCATTCCTTGACTTCTATGTCCATTACGGTTCCTTGACTTGTGATCACAGTTGTAACAGAGCAACGGTTAATATAGAATATGTCGACATGTTGTACATTTCGGACCCAGTGTGGAATTTTGACCAGCCAGTCGCGTGTCTGAGAAGCGACTGATTTTTGTTTCAGTTTAAATTTTAAAAACAAGCAACAAAAAACAAAAACGGCAGCCTGGAATTCAATAAATAACAGTGAGTGCTACATGGTAAGCAGAGGTAATGTGTTAAAAGTCCTACGCTAATTTGCTGAAATAAGTACTAGCCCCTGAGAACCTCGGCAGGTTGCTCTTTCAGATCCTGGTTTTGGGGGGTGCAAGGGGTGACAGTGCAGGGTGGAGGCTGGTGGGGGGGCAGGGGGCTGGCGCCACTCTGCTGGCAATCGGCGGAGGTACAACGCAGAAGGGATTTTTGGGCTGAAAAGGTGCATCTTCTCCATCTCCCTCCTTGTGCTCAGTCTGAGGGCTGGAAGGCTGCCCCTCCTTGTCACCGGCCTGGAGCAGGTGAGGGTGGGGGCAAGGTGGTGGGGGTGGGGAGAAGGGTGTTGGAGTCCAAGGCATCAGCTGACGCTCAGCTGAGCGAAGCCCACCAGTTTCACCTCGTCCGGGATCTCTGTGCCGTCACAGCCCGAGGCCTGGGGGGGTGGGGAGGGGGGAGTGACACAGAGAGCATGTGTGTGAGCGTGGGGAGTTTGATGTCTCCTGAGGATCCTACTACCCATTTTCAATCAGTCCCTTTTTTTTGGTCTTTTTTGGTCTTTTGCCCACACTAATGCTTTTTGGAACAAAGTCAAGAAATAAATAAAAACAAAAAAAAAAAATCACAGCATGAAAAATCCTACTTGGAATGGTCATATAATCAGCAAAAATGTTTTTATATAAAATTTGACAGAAATAGCCTGTTAATCCAGGTCAAATGACAAAATGCATGCGGATCCTTTTTAGCGGTTTCTGTGTGCTTAAGAGTAGACGTTAATTTGACAATTAAAATCATGCTCTCAAAGGAAATTTACACATCGCGCAAACACATATACATTTACACATTTTCTAATTGCTGTAATCAGAACTTTAGAGAGACAAGGACATTTACAAAGTAATAATAATAAAGATACTTCAGTGGAAATTGGGATCTTTTCTCAGACAGGTAAGGATTTAATTAAAGGTGACATATTTCTGTTGATTTTGCTACTTTTCTTTTTATTTAGTGGATGACACTGACTTTGTGAAAGGAAAAACAAAACATTTAATGCAGACTGAATTACAGAGCCCGGCTGATACTGGTGACCCACCAGTGGGGGGTGTTACGACAGAAACTCCTGCTACAGCCCAACTCAACAGAGTGACCACCAGTGGAGGGACAGGGTGACAGGAGTAACACTTGGATCGGTCACCGGGGCCGAGCTAAAATTAACTCCCCCTCAGACACGGCGGTGACTAACGCCGCTCCCGAAGCGTGACGGGTGGCACTGAGCGAGCGGAATCGGGGAGATTAAGCCGGTATTTAAGGAGGAGAACGAACAGGCTGTGGGGAGCAGAGCAGCTGGCTGTACGCACGGAAGATTGCATTCTGGGGGCGGAGGGAGGGGTGATGGATGCCCCCCAGCATGTAAACCTGCAGTGTGCTCCTCTAGAGGTTAGTCAGGAAGGGAGGGGGCTCACAGGTCTACAGTGTGTGTTTTTACGAGTATCAGGGACTGGAGCAGCACGATAATGCGGGGGGGATGGTTTAACTGAGCTTAAACCTAACATCAACCTCCACCACTTTAAAAGGACAGAGAAAGACATAAAAAGCCAGCGAGATTAAATAGGGGTTTTATTATATTAGGAAGGGTAAGAGCTTAATGTGGATGACAACTGAACTAATTATTCTGCTGTCCTGGCCTTAAGTGAGGACATGTTACAGGCAAATAAATAGGTAGGCTTGAAGATTGCTGGGAGAGGGCTATGAAAGCAAGTCGATAACGTCTCTTCAAAGTGTGATGCCCTGCCCTTCCTGGAGGGGGCGCAGTGTCACTTCAAATCGCTGTTGCTGGGAGGGCAGATTGTGCTCAGCCACTAAAAATTTGCTCCCCCCCCCCCTCCACCCGCGCCCCCAGGCGCTGGTGGTCTAGACGGCCTGTATTGAGTAGCGAGTGGGGGGCCGATGTTTGGAAGCCAGGCAGCATGTCCACATGCTGGGGGGGGAGGGGTTTCTGAGATGGGGAGACGGACAGCCTGGACCAGTGGCCAGAGACAGCCTTCTCTGTTTCTCCTCATCTCTCCATCACTGGGAGCGACGCCTCGTCGCTTCAGGGAGTCCCCTGACAGTCCAGCCAGCGCCAGCCCGAGTTACATGACACAAATCTACATAAGGCTGATTCAAGGATTTTTTAAGGAGGGGAAACACAAAAGGGGGTATAATTCTTGTGAAGGGGCCAACCTTATCATTAGCCAATGATATGTATTGAATTGGTGAGTGACAGGGGAGGGGCCATTCTGGCAGCCAATCAGCTTTTAGGTTGGGCCAAATGCCTCTGTGGCCCTGCCCCTGTGTATGCCGCCTGATTTTCCTGTTTTTTTTTGTGGCCATTGTAGGTCCCCTGGATTGCTGCCACCGTCACGCAATCGCCGGCGGCTTCGGCCAAAGGAGATATGATGGGGATTTCTGAATTGAATTTTGCATTGTTAGTTTCAGATGTCATCCCAGTCGCTTATTCCCCAATCTAACTGTGCATCTGCAAATAATGTTGACACCAAAATGCAGCGAAATATCAGACCTGAACCGACTCCCATGTTTGGTTCCCCATAGCTGGGTAGATATAAGCGATTCATTTCGCACAAAGTGGGGACCTAGACACTATGAGTCGTGTTTCCATCAAATCACTGGCCATGCTTTAAGGATGAGAAGTGGACCAAAGCGCTTCCTCATCAGACCAACACCTCTGTCCTCTAACAAGCTCCCAGGACTCAGAACTGCTGTTAGATGGTTGTGTAGATGGATCTGAAGATAAAAGAGCTTCTCCAGAGAAGGACATAGTCAAGCATGCTGTACTGCTTCACAAACACTGTACACATGTCTCTGGTGTCTGCAAAGGACAAGCAGGTTTAGAAAATGGATGGATAGATGCACCTTTCTGGTCTCATACTTTGTATATTATGTGTGTCTATGTCTATCCATGTGTGTATCTATATTTATTGTCCTTGCCTATGTATATTATTGTACTGCTGGCTGGGGTGCTGCCAAATGAAATTTTGCTCCTCTGTGTGTGGTGACAATAAAGATTCTTATTTTATCTTATCTTACAAGAATGGGGCTACTGTTTTGCTTAGAATGTACCCCAGAATGATATTATTTCATTGTAGAAGATTCTTACTGAAAGCATAAAGGATAAACTGTTACATGAGGATGCTACCCTTCCCTGAGGACTCCTGTGCACGATCCGGGACGTATTTAAAGAAACAGTTAGAGGATCAGGAGTATGACATTCGACACACAGCTACTCACCAACTTAAAAGTCAACACTTTGTAGGTAACGGGGTCGTCCACGATCTTTTGGAGGTTAGCGGCGACTGAAAGGTCAGACAGAGAGGCACGTGATGATTGGAGGGATCAACGATTCTGCCGTCAGACGGGGTCGATGCGCTTTTTCAGACTGCGGCGCGAGTTAGGGATCGATCCGAAGCACGTCAAACCGTGTAGATCGGGAAAGAGATCGGGGGGTTCTGGGGGGGGGTTTGGGGTGGCAGGGGGAGTACCTATGACGACGTCGTGACCCTGGACGAGTCCAGCCGAGTACAGCTCCTGGGAGACGCCGTCCGCTGTGTCTGTAACGGGAATCGGAGTATAGGGGGAACAACACTGCGTTTCCGTGGTGACGGGATGTACTGTACTCACCCCAGCCATGAGATTAGCACTCGCAGACATTGCCTCACACAACATCGTATGCACGCGCGCACACACACACACATACACGCACGCACATGTAGGGTAAACATATCCTTATGGGGACCGCTCATTCATTTCAATGGGAAAAATGCTAACGCTAACTATGACAACCTTAACCCCTACCCTGCCCTAACCATAACCATAAGTAACCTAACAAAATACAAGAGTTTTTGCATTTTTAGTTTTTTCNAGTAACCTAACAAAATACAAGAGTTTTTGCATTTTTAGTTTTTTCATAGCAGTCACTGATTTTTATAAAATAGAGTTTTAAAATTATGTCCCCATAAGGATAGGTAAACCCGCTCGCACACACACACACACACACACACACACACAAATATCTTTATGAGGACCGTCCATTTTTTTCTATGGGCAAAACCCAAATCCCAACATGACAACCTTAACCCCTACCCAGCCCTAACCTTAACCATAAGTAACCAAACAAAATACAAGACTTTTAGCATTTTTAGTTTTTATTGCAGATTTTTATTAAATTGCAGTTTTTATCAAATTGAATTTCCCCTTGTGGGGACCAAAAAAATGGCCCTCACAATGTTATGTATACTTGGACCATGCAGCACGCACACACACACACACACACACCGTGTTTTCACCATCTTACCTCTGCCTGGTGTGAACTCGAATCGGATGTCATTCAGTTCCTTTCTGGAGTTCCTGACAAACAAAACAATAAAAATATATTCTTAATAAACGGGCTTCCTGGCTCAGGATGAACCCCGACCTCATGCCCTGCGCTGCTGGGATAAGCTCCTGATCCCCAAGATGATCCTCACCAAGATAACATGGATGGCTGGTCTTCCTAAAACTCAGCTTTCTCGACAAAACCGTGAAGTTCAGATATCCTGGTTATGAGGGCAAGCAGGCAACCAGCCAGGATTGAAGAATAACATCCGCAACACGTTAGGAAAATGTTATATATGTACTTAAGCCCGTCGGCGGAGAAGCTGAAGTGATGCGCGTTAAGCGACAAACAGCCCACGGTGATATACTACAGTTTTGATTAATAACACCCGCAGCCTGTTGCTCGCTGTTTTATGTGTGGGGTGTAAAATACAGCCTGTCGTACATAACAGATGAATGTTATTTATAGAAGGCGCATACCTCAGGCTGGTCCTCACAGGCTCTGACAAAATATGTACGTCGAGTAAGGACCTGGACAGTGTCTTCAAATAAATGTACCTTTTAAACAGGCAGGGCTGCAGGCACCTGCTTGACCGTGGGGAAAGGAGGGAGTTTCCACTATTCAGGGGCGATTCTAGGATTTTTTAAGGTTGGGGGCCGTAGTTCATACAGAGGGCCCAACTATACCATTAGCCAATGCTATGTTTTGAATCGGTGAATGACAGGGAAGGGGCACTCCAGGGGCCAATCAGCTTTCAGTTGGGCCCAGTGTCCCACCCCCATCCTTTCAGCTGCCTCATATATATGACAGACAGCAATCCCTCCACAGGACTCCAGGTTTACTGTGTTTATGTGGGTGTTATGATGAGGGTAAAAAAGCCCATAACTGCAGTGCACCACCAATGCCACTGCACCCCCCTCCCTCACCACAGGCCATCCAAGCTCACCGCGAGCTGAACATCAAAAACAAGCGTCGTTTCACACAGGGACGCGTCCGCTGATGAGGTTAGAGTCGAGCAATAAGGACATTATTCTCTCCTAAGTGTTTGGAGTGCTTCTATCGGAGCATCTCCACTGCTGGCAGCAAACGCAGTGGGAGCAGGATTAGACTGCAACAAGACACAGGTAATTCATTACTCAGGCTGAATAGCCAGAGTTTGCCTCACTGTGTGTATTCAGACTACGGTGCGTGAGGGCAATTTGTACCAGCGAGTGTGGCGAGGTCCCCCGGAGCTGCGTCAAACCCCTCGAGCACAGTGCTGTGCCACACAGAGGATTCTGGGAAATAGCGGGATTGGAAATCAGCAGGGAGAAATGGCGTTCGGCATCCGCTTCCAAATCTCCAAATGGCCATCATGGAGGAAGGAGTATTTACACCCTGTAGTCAGTGACGTATTCTAGGCAGGGGGCACAAGCGGAGGCATAATTCATGTGAAGGGCAAACCTTAGAGTCAGTGATGGCCAAATTAAATTTCATGAACCATTTGCTGTATTTTTTGACCCCACTAGATGGTGCTCTTGGTTTGCTTTGGGACACATATTGAGCCCTTTTTTGAACAGAGAGCACCACCGCAGTGGGTGACATACGAGGGGCCCCTCGGGGGCAAATCAGCTTTCACCTATGGCCAGTGTCCCTGTGGCCCTGCCCCTGAAGTGACACAACGGGCTGGTGACGTGTCACCTGACCATGTCAGGGTCATACATAAGCGGGGATACAGACATCTCATCTTCCAACGTCATCAGCGAATGCTCACATGTGCATGTGCAAAAGTACGAAATCGTACAGGCTGATAATATGCAAGAAGGTCTCGTTACGGCTCAGTTAATTCAATTTATTTTAATATAACGCCTTTCACAACAGTCACCCCACTTGACAAGAGTGTGTGGTTGAAAACAGAAAATCAGCCAGCTTTAATAAAAGCAAGGCACACACTGCCATCATAGTCGGAGTCCATCAGAGAGTCAGATCTCCAAGCAGGTCTGAGTAAGCTGGCAGATTGTAGACCACATCCATGGTGTCACAGTCAGCAGCTGCTGGTCGGCCGGTAGAGAGAGACGGAGGATGGATGTGAGCGGTGGAGGCTGGATATGGGCAGAATGCCAGTGAGGTGTCAAAGGGGGGGGGGGCACTGCGGAGCCATACCGGCAGTGTGGCATAATGCTGCCGCAAACAAACACAGATGTCACAGAAATTAATCTGTATTCCAGAAAATGTCCAGTCCTGTGCAATATTTGCATTGTGTTTACATTTTACTATGTTATATTGCATCGTGTCTACCTAATTATTCTTATTATCTGTAATCATATTGTCTTACTGTAAGCACCTTAAATTGTATTTGAGATTTGTAATTTGCATTTAATTCATGTTTACCGGTGCCGAGATAGGACAAGATTTTCATTGCATAGGGGAGGTGACTGTTTGACAATAAACTGTCCGACAATAAAAACAGAATCTCTCAGCCATCACTTCTGCTGTTTTTGCCAAGTGTTTCTCCGACCAAACTTCTGTCTTGCTTCTTTTCGTCAAGCACAAACACTTTACAGCTCCCTGGACCCACTCTCAGTCCTGATGGAATAGTGACACGCCTCAGGGAATGTGCCAGGCATCCCACGAGAGTTGCGGACTGAATCGACCCCCTCCCTCACTCCAGACATGGGGAAATATCCAGGCAGAGACACACGGGGTCAATGAGGTTGGTGGTGGCTAATGGGGTCTGGCAGAGTTCCTCTGTTTGAGACACGGGTTTCAGTCGGAGGAGGCTGTGCTCCCACTGCGATGTACGTGAGCTTTCTTAGCTGGGGATTACGTCAGTTCGCAGCTCAGGCAAATTCTGATGGGGGATAAACGGCGTAGCTCTGGGGGCCCTGAGGCCTACTAAAGTGCAAGGAGGAAGCCGAGGGCCGATGTGATCTCGGCACCGCGGGCCGGCTGGGAAATCGGGGGGTGTGTATCCCGTGCCTGTCAGAGCCCTGCAATCACGCACCCTGAGGCTGAGCTCCAGCCCGCAAATTCACCGCCCTCCACCCTTGCTCAACGCTCCACCAACAATCAAACCCGTCAAAGGGCACCACGGGAAATAAGTGGATTGCCAGATGGAGGAGGGTTTCAAAAACCAAAAAGGACAAGGGCAACATGTAAGACTTGTAAGATCTTGGGCGGCCGTAACATGACATAATGTAATACTTCTCTACTTCTGTCTCCCTCGAAGGGAAAGCCAAATCGGAAGAGGAAGAACAACGACCCAAATACAGGGGTGAGTTTTTAAAGAAGCAGATTTGTGGCAGCGAGTTAGTTCAGGTCCCTGAAAGGGACCCACCGCCATACGCTACAGGAGATTCATGTGAAGTGCTAAGCCTGAGTAATTGGATAAACTCCTTAAAGGAAATACTAGCAATTTATACTGTATGCTACTCGTCAAGACGGAGAAAAAAAAAAAAGAAAGTCTGCTGACTCAGATAATTCAGGAAATCCATTTCGCCCAGATGGGCAGATCGCAAGACACCCGTGTAAGTGATGGCGTGGGCTCTCTCTAGGCCAATGGACTTCTTCCGTGAGCCGGTCTGAGTCCCCCTGAGCTCCGTGGCCCTTCCCAGGAGGGCACTCCCTGTCCTGGGGGCACGGCCAGCGTGCTCTGACTGTGCCGGAGGTCACGCCTGAAGAGAGGCATGTCAGCGGTGCGGTAATGGGCAAGCCAGGCATGCAGGATTACGACTGACGGCCCCAGCCGAGGCATTAATCTTCGGCGCGCCGCCATTCCCCAGAGCTGTACGCTCCGCGCTGAAGCTGGGATTTTCCCCGGCGACCACGCATGATGCAGTCACTCAGGAAGTAGCCTATAGTTATCTCTACGTTATTCAATATAGCGGTGGCATGGTAACCAGCAGGGGGCGCCGGCTCTAAATTGCCCATAGAGTGTTATTATGTATAGGTGCCTGTGTGTGTCAGGTGACAGGCTGGCATCCCATTTAGGGTCTGCTCTCCTACCACGGACACCTGCCCCCCCCGCCCCGTTTCTGGATGATAGATGGACTAATCTCAACATTAATGATTGTATTTCATAACTGATTCTCATGATTAATGAACATACTGTACATCTCATTATTACTGAATATGCTCTATTTTTAATGATTAAGAAGTATATTGTATTTTTATCTCAACATGGATTGGTATACCGAAAATTTATCTGACTTTCATTTAATTTACCAAGTAGCCAATTCCATTCTGTCAAACACAGAATTGCAGCATTTTTAAAGTAGCCTCCTGATAGGATACAGTTCTTATCAATATACTGCTCCTTAACCAGAAATAGCTACAGCCATTTCTTATATTGTAATAATACCATTTTTTTTCTCATGGAAAAAAAAAATCACACTCGGAGACTCTCCAGTAGAAAACTGAAAAGTGCAACTTAAAGCCAGGCTAAACAGCTTTCTAAATCAAGCTAGGCTGGGCTGAGTTTAATCAGGTACGGCGCGGGGGGTGGGGGGGGGGTGTCATGCTTTAAAAGGATACACACAAAAAACATGCTGCTTTAAATGGATAATGACTGAAGTAAAATGAACACATCACTGTCACTGGTTCCTACTTTGCGGCTGGGAGGATTCAACGTTACCATGGGGCAGCTAGTGAGCATAGCTGACTGAAGATGGTTAACCAGTCAGTTTTGGCTTTTGCAACTTTTTAACACCCGTTATGACAGGGCTCTTCAAATCTGGCCCTCGATTCCAAATCCAGGCCGTGTTTTCAGTTCTCCCATGTAATTAGTTTCATAATTACTGATTCTGATTGGTCAGAGGCTTCACACCTGACTGACAGGTAAAGGAAGGCTGGAAAACCAGCAGTGCTCGGCCCTCAAGGACCGTGATGTGAATAGCCCTGCTTTATGGAGTATGTCTGGATTACAGACTAAGATGTCATTTTAAGGGCAGGGATTTAAAGACTTTTATTACCAAGATCTTTATTATTTTAAGATCTTTATTATTCTTGTCTATTTAGGAAACGCATTCGTTATATTGAAAATCTTAACAGGACCAGTGTTCCTCATAATGTTACTTTTACAGTAGAAACTGCACTAAATTGACACACACAAAAAAAAATGGCTAGAAAATCTGCATCCCAGTCAATATTAGCAGTCTTCGTGCACAAGAAACGGTTTTCTCTCCATTTGTCCACAGTCTAGACGAACGCGCAGTGAATTTTTCTGCCCTGAATCAGATGTCTGAGCAAAATCAGAATGTGTAAAAACAACGACCCAAAAGAGATAATGCTCTGTTAGATAAAACCAGGCATCCGTGAGGGTGAAGATCTAGCTAAATTAAAAGCGGCTGGTGTGAGGTGAAGGCGAAACACGAAGCGGGGAGAGCGACAGCCGAGCGAGAGGCCGTCTGGCTCCAAACCCCACATCTGGACCTGGCTCTGGCTGAGCTCCTCACCCAAGGCTCACGTGTTCTCCCTCCTGGGGCCACTGTGAGCACAATCGAGCGTTGTATTCAAGGGCCTGGGATTTCCACACCCCGGCATAAAAGCGATCACTCATCGACCATTACTCATCCCAGCTGCACGCACTATAACCACCAAAACAAAAAAGATGAAAGTGGCCACCTGGACAGAGAAAGGCGTAATATGAGCCGAGAAAATTTATAAATCAAGCCAGTGCAGAAAAAATGATGCAATACAGTCTACATCAAACAGACTACAATATGCTGATGGTCATGACAGGGCAGTGGGCATCTTGGTCTTGCACAGATCTTTTAATGTGTTTGCAAACCTTTGCAATATGAAATAACTAATACCTGAATGAATGGATGAATGAATGTATGGATGGATGAATGAATGAATTAATTAAATGCTCCACAGCCTTTTGACTCATAGAGCGCAATTCACACCTCGCTGGGTCACTGTACGCTTGTGCGGTATTTGAATCACACAGCCAATAATTCTATATGCCTGACATCACTGCCTATGTTCTCTGGCTCCTGCTTACTTTCATCATTCTGAAATGATGCTGTGCTTGCACAAGCACACTGGAATGATCCTTTTCATATACCCCATCTTGCTCTCCTTTGAAGAGATACACAGTCGAGAGCGAAGCTTGGAGTCCAAACACAGGGTTAGCCCATTTATCGTGCGCCTCTGGAGCATTTTTTTTTTTTGGGGGGGGGGGGGTTAAGGACCTTCTTTAAGGGAACAGTAGGCTTGTTACTAATGATGGCCAAATGAAGCTTCATGAACCATTTGCTGTATTTTTTTACACCACTAGATGGTGCTCTTGGCTTGCATTGGTGCATGTATTGAACCTTTTTTGGCCTAAGCCGATGAGGCACACACGACGTTTGACAGGGAGTTCATACTGGCGATACTGCAGTGGAGACCCCATAATGACTCCGAATCCCGATGTCACACCTTGTGCCTCTAAGGGTGTCACAGGAGGGTGTTAAGATGCTCCTGGAAGGACACAGAGATGACATTGCCGCCACCTGCTTCCACGCGTCTGCCGATCAAGACGTGGCAGCCAGGGGCCTCCCTGCAGAGCCGGTGCCGACCCCGGACTGAACCCGCGGCCCCTCACGAACGGAGACGCCACCGATCTCTGCAAGCTCCGAGGCATTTATAGCCTGGGGCCGGGCCGGCTGCACCCTCCCCCTCAGAAAATGAGCCTCGGGTTACATGCCCTACTCCCCCAATAGCAGGAGAGAACTTTCTAGGTCTCAGAACGCACATAAATATTTAAGCCTTCTGACTCACCCTGTTGATGGCTATTAAAAAATGCATTATTAATTATTAAAAAAACTTTCAGTAGGAAAGCCACGCCACTATTTAGTCACTGGTTACCATCCTTTATGACACTAGTAATGAAAAAGAAGAAACGGTTTTACAGATCAGTCCCTATGCAAATCAGAAACAGAGGAAGGTTATACACTCTGTTTAATCATCCTGATTAAATGCCAAGGAAGAAAGACCAAGAGCCCATTCCAGTGTGTGTGTGTAAGTGTTTCTAAACCACTTGGTAAAATGTGGAAGCATGAAGGGTCTGTTTTAAACACAGTCTGAGACCATTAATCGCTAGCTCAGCGTTGCAGAACTTCAATTCAGGGTGAATGTGCATGCGCTTCCTATCCCATGCAATTAGAACCGGCGTAGAATCGTGCTTGGACCCAGGCACCTTCCACAGCGATTTTCTCCACAGCAACTGAGCAAGCCACAGAATGTCAGTCTAACCCAAATTAAGCATACAATTAGCTTTATAGAGGTGCAGCATCGTGAGACAGGAGGCCATTCTCACACACTCTTACCATTAATGAAAATTAAGACCCTATTGCGAGCCATTCTCTACTTGCTACCTGCAGCGAGGCTCTGTAATTTCTTCTGGAAGTAAGTCAATTTAATTAAGGCGGAGGAAATGAGGGTAGACGACAGCTGGAACGCTAGTGTGTGTGTGTGTGTGTGTGTGTGTGAGAATGCAAAGATACAGTCTGTCAGGATCCTTAGGCTACTACGAGAGACACTTGACGGTGACATGCGACATACATGCCCTTTGTGTCTGAACACTGCCCCCTTCAGGTCGGGGGACTGTCCATTAGTGCGTCCTTATCACCTGGACAGTTCTCCTCAGGCTAACCTCACTGAACACAGTGCATAGTGTATTCCTTTAATGATACCAATAATGTGTCAAGTAACGTACTTTCAAGGGCCGAGGTCTTAACGTCTTCAAAATGATGGCAAGTTTAATGGATGATGCTCTCGTTTCACATCCCAAACCGTGGGGTTACTGGGAAGCGCTTTAGTAGCCCGATCTGTGTCTGGGACGGTATGGACCCCTTACAGTTACTCAGACACCATCAGTCAGGGCAACAGACCAACAACCCCCCCCCCCCCCCCCCCCCCCCC